ATGGAAAAGGCCTTTAGGACTAAACCTTTGGACCTTGGATTTGGCTTGATTGACCTAAGATCTTGGTAGATCCTAAGGTCTGAATAGATCTTAAAGTTAGGAATCTAGAAGGATCCTACAGCCTAAGAAATTCCTAAAACTTAGAGTCTAGAAGAAGTTTAGGATCTGGAGTAGCTCCTAAGGTCTGAGCTCTAGAAGAATCCTGGCATAGATCCTAAAGTCAAGATTCTAGGAGGATCCTAAAGTTTACATTGATTTGGAAATTAAATTAATTTAGGGCCAGGAGTGGTCCAAGTGACCTCATACAAAAATGAGGTCAACAACTTCTTAGGATCAGATTCATCAAACACTACATGAGTAGTCTCCTCCACTACCAAAGTCCTCTCATTAAACACCCTAAAGGATTTCCCCACACTTGAATATCATAAGAACACTCCTTCATCAAATTTTATATCAAATTTTTCTATGCGCAACTTCCCATTATTAAGAATAAAAACCTTACAGCCAAAGACATGGAGGTGTGAAAGGTTGGGTGGCATACCCTTAAGGATCTAATAGGGTGTCTTATCAAGTTTGGCTATAACATTCACCCTATTCAATACATAACAAGCCGTGTTTACCACTTCAGCCCAAAAGTACTTTGGAAGATAATACTCAGCAAGCATGGATCTAGTGGTTTCAACTATGGTCCAATTCTTTCTTTAAGTTACCTCATTCTGTTGAGAGGTCCTAGGAGCTGAGAAGTTATGACTAATCCCCTTATCCTCATAAAAGTTTTCAAATCTCTCATTTTTAAACACTCACTCAAGGTCACTATGGATGGTCAAAATCTCACAACCTAGCTTTTTTTGAATCCAAGTGAAAAAGGATCTAAACTCATCAAAATACTCATTCTTATGTGACAGAAATCTAATCCAAGTAAACCTCGAGTAATCATTGACAATCACAAATCCATAGACTTTTCCTAATAAGCTGGCAGTGATAATGGGTCCAAATAAATCCATATGAAGGACTTCTAAAGGCCTAGAGGTGCTAATATCCTTAATGGAGTGAAAAGAGGATTGGACTTGCTTCCCTAGTTGGCAAACATCACAAAGGTTGTCTTTAGAGAACTTAAGCTTGGGGACACCTCTAACTAGGTCTTTCTGGGTCACTCTTCTAAGGGTTTTCATACTAGCATGACATAACTTCCTGTGCCACAACTATGAATCATCAATAGTAGTTTTTAAACAAAATGAAGCAGCACATACAATATTATTTAAGTCAAGCATGTAAATATTGTTGATTCGCTTTCCCTGCAAAACAGTGTTATTATTTAATCTTATAATATAAGTATTTGCTAAGAATTTTATGGTGAAACCCTTATTACAAAGTTAACTAATGCTGAGCAAGTTGTGTTTCAGTCCATTTACAAGTAAAACATTTTAAATCAAAAGGTTTTTGGAGTTTCCAATTATACATGCGCCCACTACTTTCCTGATGGTGTTGTCTCCAAGAGTAACCTTACCTCTAGCGAAACAAATTAGTTTGCATCCCCAGTCATGTGTCGTAAGCATCCTCTGTCTAGGTACCACATGCTCTCATGTGGCTTTTTGTGAGAACAATCCTACAAGATCATCAAACATCAGATTTAGGAATCCATGCTTGGGGTGTAAGTTATGCTGTGAATCATGCAATTTGGGTCTCCACACTCAATATGTACCATGGTGAATAGTGCAAGTGTGTGATATATGTCCTAACATGTCACATGAAAAAACATCTAACACTAGGAAAATGATTTACTAATCTGCTCAGGTGGTGATGCTTCCTTTAAAAGTTGTGTGATGCATGCAATATTGATTTGTTATTTTCAAAAGCTTTGAGATTCTTTAATTTCTTAAAACCTCTTTCTAGCTCAACATAAGATGACTTCAAGGAATCATGTGTATGAGATAATTCAATATGCTTTTTGTTTAATGCATCAAACTCATCAAGTATTGACATGTGATTGCTATCGATTATAAAGTGATCTTTAAGTAAAATTTCATGCTCTTTTTACAAATTTAAAAATTCTAATTTTAAACTAGCATGTGATTTCTTAAGTTTCCTATATGATTCATGAATTTGTTCAGAAACTTCAAGTAGTTGCTCATAGGTTAGTTCACATACCTCTTCTTGGTCACTTTGACCTGGATGATTGTCAGCCATCAAGCACAAGTTTGTTATCTCCTCTTCAGCTTCAGTCTCAGAGGAGTCCTATGCAGAATCTGCCCAGAATGCCTTTTAAATCCTCTTCTTATCCTTTTTAAACTTGGGTTATTCCTTATCATTCTCCTTGCTTGAGTGAGCTTTAAGTGTATGACAATCAGTTTTAACATATCCCGGCATCCTGCATTCAAAACAGATCATATAATTAAAATTCTTAAAAATTTTGCTACCCTTACCTTTATGCCACTTCTAATGATTCTTATGCTTCTTCCTTAGAAAGCTTTTGAATTGCCTTATGATTAAGGCAACATCATCGCTTTCAAACCCGAAAGAGTCAGTGTCCGTGTTGTTGGCCTTCAACGCCGCAGTTTTCTCCTTCTTTTTTCTCACCTACATCATGGTTTCTTTGATTCATGCCTTGCTCATAAGCAATGAGTGATTCAAGTAAGTTATCAATCGAATAGGTATTCAAATCTATAGATTAAAAAATTGTAGTAATTTTAGTATCAAAGGAAGAAGCAAACATCTTAAAATTTTATTAACCTTTCATAATTTGTGAGTTCTCTTCCTAAAGCATGTAGTGAGGTGACAATTTGAGTGAATCTAATATACATGTCAGAAATTGATTCATTAGGTTTTATATAAAAATTTTGTAGTCATGCAATAAAATATTTAACCTTGATTGTTTAACTTCTTTGGTTCCATCATAAGTGATACATAATTTATCCCAAATTTCTTTACCAGTAGTCCAAGTTAAAACGCGTATGCAATATTCAGATTTTAAAGCACAGAAAAAATAGTTCAAATATTTTGCATTAAGTTATGTTAAATCCCTATCATCAAGAGTCCATTCAGTGAAAGGAAGTGGAATAGTATTGCCATTAATTTTACAAGTCAGAGATGTATAACCATCTTTAAAAGCATCCACATGTGGTAGTCAATCGATTGTAAAAATATAAACATATGAGTTTTCAAAAAATCAAAAGGAATATTATCAAACAAAGGTGGTCAGGTAATAGAATACCCTTTTGCAGTATTATGATTACCAGAGTTAGTCATGGATCAAAATTCAAAAGTTTTCAAAAACTTGATTTTATGAATCCAGCTCTAATACCACTTGAAAGTTTGTTAGGGATGTTGAGCCCTTATGAACTAGCCTAAGGCTGACCAAGAGGGGGGGATTGGTATTTTAAAAAATCTTTCAATAAAAAAACACAAAATCAAACCAAACCAAAATTCACCACAAAGAAATTTAAAGTGTAGAAAATAAATATGAAAAAATAAGTAATAAAGAACATAAAAGTTTATAGTGGTTTAGTTAACTCGACCTACGTCCACTCCCTGAAGGTATCCTCCTATTATTGCACTAAACTCAGTGACTCTCCTTTTGCTCACACAGCAAGACGGAGAAGCCTGTACAAAGCCACCTTTCCACCAACACCGGTGAGTCAGAGAACCTGACTCCTTTTGCTTCCTCCTGAAGCAGGCAGAAAACCTTGATCGATTGCTAAAGTGGACCTCTCTCGAACCTCCAAGGATAAGGGATGATGATTGGAGAAGATGACTTGGATCCTTGCTTTGAGCAACCTTTGTGAAACCCCTCACAAACTCCTTCTCATAAGATCCTTTTTCTCTCTCTCCCTTTCTCTCCCTCTCCTCTAGGCTCTCTCAGGTCAAGTCAGCAGCAAAAGATGATGTCTTAGGTTGAATAAGAGGTCATAAATAGAAGAGCTTTAGAATAGCTCTTAATTTCAACAAATTGACATTATCATCTAAGATGTTATAAATATCATCCTATACGACTAGCATAAATTTCACTCAATCATCCCTGATGGTTTGGGATGATCAGAAGGTTTTTATTCATATCGTCCAGGCTGATAGTATATCGTCATGTACGATTAGTACAAATCGTAGAATTTCATCTAGAACATCGCCTTGAATGTGTGTCTGGATGATATAAAAATAACTTAATCATCCAAGAAAATCTCACAATCATCCTGGATAATTAATTCAATTTAGTATATATCATCTAGAGCATCACCCTAAATAGAAGCTAACCGATATTTTCTCATCCAGAAACAATTAAGGTTTTCAAACTGATCATTTTGGCCAATCCTGAGATCATCCAGGATGATATGATCGAGCAATCAAAACTTAATTGTTTACCTTAATTACCAGATTAATTTAGGCATAATTAAACTACATCGTCCAGGCTGATGTCTTGGATGATGTTTTAAAATTAAAGATACTTAAATAGATCTGGCGGCTGATTCTTTTTTATTTGAGCCTATCATCCTACCAAATATAAATATCATCTAGGATGATGTGCTTAATGATGGCTGCCTTAACTAGGATGCCCTAATTAGGGTTTCTGTTTTAACTGATCTTCTAGGAAAATTTTTGGATCATCCCAAATAATGTGATCAAAATAGAAAACTCTAACCAACAGATAGAAATTTTCTCCCAAGTATGTGTGTGTAAGGTTACTTAGCATCAGGAATCACTTTGTTTATAATTGACTCAAGAAAAGGAAAAGATTATAAACTGACTTAGACATAGTCTACCCAATCTTAAGATGGTTCAAGTTGCAGTTTGGATCTTGTGGACCTTAAATGTTAGTGGGCAAGGTAGTTGTAGAGAAACAAAAGTATTTGAAATGTTTCCTATCATCAAAATTAGATTTCTTGAAATCAAATTCACAATAAGACATGGCAAAAAAGTGGTCAAATTCCTTACCCCCAGGCTTTATTACCACATAAAATGAGTTGGCCCACAAATTTCTAATAAAGTATTTCTCACCTTGTAAGAATGCCGAAATTAGAAATGATATTACTTTTTTTTACTAAGTTAGAGGGAGAATTTATTTGTGATAGTTGGGAGAGATTCAAGGAGATACTAAGAAAGTGCCCTCACTATGCCTTACTTGATTGGTTGATAATTCAAACTTTATATAATAGATTGTAAAGATCCCTAAGAGACATAATTGATGCTACGGATGGAGGTTCTTTGATGTCAAAGCCTTTTGAGGATGCCTATGAATTAATTGAGAAAATGGCAATAAATAATTACGAGTGGTCTGTTGAAAGGGTGAATCATGAGAGAGTGATATGAGTCAATGAAAAAGATTCTTTATCCATTTTGACTGCACAAGTTATAACTTTAGGCTTAAATTTTGACTCTTCATTACATTTGAAAGATAAATACTTAATGGAAGAGAATGACATACAAGAGATTGAAAATATAAGTTTAATTGGAAGATAAATTAATCTCTATTCAATATATTTAATCTAGGTTAGAGAAATCACCCCAATTTTAGTTAGTCAAATAATAGTGGTAAAAATTAATGATATTCTAGTCAAAATAACTATGGAGCAAATTGGAATAATCAAAATCAAGATAATAACGTTTCTATACCAACTTATACTCTTGGATTTAATCAAGGCAATCGGTATGGAGTTAGGAAGACATCACTAGAAGATGTGTTCATGCAGTTGGGAATTCAATTAAAAAACCAAACTGATTTAATTAAAAATTTGGAAACTCAATTAAGTCAACTTATAATTTATGTGAGTAGTAGGCCCATATGATCTTTAGATAGTAACACTGAAGTAAGTCCTAAAGAGAAGGAAAGAGATACCAAATGGGACCAGATTAAATAGTATTAATCATCTACCTTAGCCAAATGGAAAAAATGGGAAAGTATGGCTAAAGTCTATAAGATTAGTGCTTCTTGGGAGATAACCCAACCTTAGGTCAAGTCAGTTATCTAATCTAGTTGAAGACTTAAAATTTAGCAATCTTGAGAGGCAACCTATGCATGTGCTTTGCTAGTACCCATTATGTTATGAATGTTATATCATGTTTGTATTTGATATATATATATATATATATTATACATCTTTTATCATTTTTATGAAAGCATATATTTGTATTGTTTTTTATGTATTTATTTATATATTAGAAAATTCTCTATATGCTCAAATTATTATTGTCCTCTAATTACTTTTATATTCTAATTATTTAATTAGCCCTTATAAAAATGTTAATTAAAAATGATGTAAAATTAGGATAATAATAAAACCCTAGATCCTAGTTTGAATTAACTTTGTTTATACTTTATAGGTTGGAAAAACTAATACTTTACTTATTCAATCATTTAAGCTATTATTCTAAATTGAATTTATAAGATATACCTTTATGAAATTAAATTTTAAATTTGAAAGATGAATAATTAGTATTAAAAATTAGATATGAGTATATTAAACTTTGAAATCATAGCTAATGTGATGATGAAATTAGAAAGCTTATCAACTCCTTATATTATAATAATTAAGATTATATGAAGGTCTAAAGTAGAAGCCGATATTCAAAACCATTAATTATGTTCTCCACAAAAGAAAAAAAAAAGAACTATAAAATAATTCTTAATATAAAAGTAAAAAAGAAGAAGAAAATAATCAAAAGAAAAAGATGAGTACATTCAAAAATTAGTATCAGTGAAATCATAAAATTGAAAACAAAATCTTATACTTAAACTAAAATGGATAAGATAGAAGAGCTAATGCAAGGGATGGTGAACTAATGAAAGTACAATTTTAATTACAACTATATATAATCATTAAAACTCAAATATTCACTTCAACAATTAAAAGTTATTAATTAAATCTATGACCTATAATTTTAATTGGGATGTAACTAGAATGATTGATTTGTTTAACTATTAGTATTTTTATAAACTCAAATTATAGTCATATTTATTTTTAATAATTCTAGACATTGATGTATTATCCTATATTTTAATAATTTTAGATTGTTATTTTTTATTTTGGTTAAACTCTTAATCAAAATTACAAAAATTTTATATGCTTGAAGGCAAGCAAGAGTTTAAGTTAGGGAGGATTTGATGAGTGTAAAAAATGTTATATTTTACATGTTAAATTGCTAGTGAAATCATTTTATTTTAGTTATGTTTTTGCAACAAAATGCACGAAAAGTGTAAAAATTTAAAGTTTAGTACAATGCCTCGACATAAAATACTACTCCATCACGGTGCCAACCTTAACATCGCCAGAGCACCCAATATAAACATGACGGTGCACAGTCTCTGTTTAACAGTGCTGTAGTGTCGGAGGAGTCAACACTATAGCAATGCCGCATCACTACAGTTGTAACCATTCAGGGCATGATCTGCCAACAAAGTGCAATGTCTATTTACCAAACAGTGGCTCCACATCAGCAAGTGTCATAACAGAGGAAATCCTTCAACGCTGTGGCATTAGTTTTAAAAAATATAAAATTTTATTGAATTTTTTTATTAAGTTTGAATTTATATTATCCAAAAATAAGGATAACTCCACACTAGTAAAAGTTTTTCCATATATATACTTTTTTGTATATTATAGAGATTAATATTATGAATAATTTAAATATTTTCTAAAAGGGTCATAACATGTTGGATCTTTTTATTAACCATAACCTTTTTGTGATACTCAACCCTAAAAATATTGTGATTCTCTAGGATCATAGTATTGTTCAACTCATTCTAAGCCTACCAGAACTAAGGTATCATGTTAAATTTTATATTTTTGAACCTTTTACATGTGTTTGAAAGTGTTTTTTATGCATGTTAAAGTCTATATATGTTCTAGAGTGGGTCTTGAGGAATTTTTTTTATATTTATAATTTTTTAATTTCCCCTTGGGGCACCATGGAGCTTGATTAGACAACACCCGAGCAGAAGTAAGTTATGTCAAACCTATATGAACTCAGCACTCTAGCGCATGATGGGTGTACCATCTCTGAGGGTTTTACGAAGAGCAATATGACCAATACTATGACACCACACCAAATTTTAATATTAAAGTATTCAAATCCACTATTTCAATAATTCATTTTCTATTAAGTAAAATGCGCTAGACAGAGAGATAAAGTTAAGTTTGAGCCACTTGGTTTTTCAACTATTTCCAAGTTTTGAAAGTAATCCAGAACGAAGAAGGTAACATTATGCTTATCTAAGTTTAAAAAAATATTAAGTTTTTAAAACTTTTTATTAAATTTAAATTTTTGTTATAAAAAAATAAGGATAAGTTCGTACTATTAAAACTTTCACCACATAACTTTTTATAGAGACTGAGTTTATGAATATTTTCTAAAAATCTTACACTAGGGATTTTGGGAATTACTTTATTTTAATTGAATAAAAAATATAGGCTTTAAACAATAATGTTGTAGTACAAATAAATATTACATATAATATTTTGTCCAATCCTTAGTTTTTGGGTTATATTTTAAAATGAAGTATTTTTTTTTTGAAGTGGTCTTTCCTCTTTCGACCGTAATAACAAGTTATGAAATTTTATGATGAGTTCATTTATGCTTTAATTTTTACAATACAATAAAATATATATTTATGTCATTGAATTATGTTATATTGCAAAGTTTTTATATGAAAATTTGTTTATTGGGTGTTAAAAGGGTGTCAAAATCTTTTAGATTTTGTCTGATGTAGGGAATCTAAAACTCTTTAAAAGTTTGTCTATTGGGAGTTGTAAAGGGGCCATAACCTATGGATTTTGTTTAATAAAGGTGAAATTTATTTGTTGGGAATTATAAGGGGATAGAATATTTAGATTATATCTATAAAAGGAGAAAATTTGTTACTTTTAATTCTATAATTCAAAGTTAATAATTCTTATTTTTTAATGTTCCCATCATTATTAGTTGAATTATGGATCTAATATTACTCTTCATGCTTAATACAATTATTTATTATGTTTCATTTAAATTTTCTTATAAATATTAACAAATAAATTGTTTAAAAATTTAGATTGGAATTTATGGCCTGTTGAACTAGTTAGCTCATAAATATTTTTTTTTTATATATTTTTAGGGTATGGAAAAAGGGAAGAGACCATTGATGAGCACTTTTTAGGATTATGATCTGAGTCTATATGGGCATTTTTTCTTTTGATTTTTGCTTGATCATGGATGATACTAAAAATAATTTTTTTACTGCTATGCACTTGCACACGTTGATCAGGTAATCAAGTTTAGAGTAGAGTATCTATCATATAAGGAAAATTATATCTTACAAATTTCCCTAATATTGTCTACTTTAAATAAAAAAATTTATTATACTAAATCATGTTGAAATTATTTTTCACAAAACTACTATAACTACTGAAATGCTAACTTAATAAAAGAAAAATATTCTATACTTGTAGTGATGAAGGATGCAATATTTTTATAAGTAGACTCTTCTAAGACGTGTTGTGAATCAGAGCATATACACCCTTAGATCTCTGTAAAGCTACTAAAGGTGTAAAGTAGAGTTCTCCTTAGATCCCAAAATCCTGTCCAACTTAACTCTAGACATGAAAGTTTTTTGTTTAAAATCTCCTATTTATTCCATCATTCTTTCATTGAGGTAATGAATCTCAGTAAGTTTTAAATTCAAACATGGCCATTGAAAGAACTAAATTAATAGTGGCAGTGATTGAAAACAACATTAAACCATTGCTTGTACTAGTGTCTACATAAGGTAAACATATACATCTTTCACATCAAAAGTTTGGTCTGCCACGATGCTCCTTAATGAACTATCTCTGATGCATTGACGTTTGGTCTCCACCATAATTTTGGGCTACATTGATGTGATGCTTCATGAGTGAACGACTCCAATTTCCTCATAATGGTTATGCTACCAAATTGGCGCTATGGCGTCACCATGTCACTTGGGTGCTCCATATGATGGCGCCATGACATTGAATTAATTATGTATTTTGCTAAAATTGAGAGGCACAAGGATGTTCCAAATGATAGCATTGGGATGCCTAAAAATCTACGATGCTTAAGGTTCATTTTCGAGGCATTGAATTAATTTTTAAAATTACCCATCATAGTTTTGCCTTGGTGCACCAAC